CGGGGAAGCGAGGCCAGAGCTTCCCCTATTTAGCGGCGGCGTATCACTGCACGTTTTGTTCGAAGAGGAGAGTGGTGGGGTTCGAGGTCTTGACGAGTGAGAAGAGAGGTTTCTAGCATTCATATATCAGCTCATGGTTCCTTGAGACTGAATCGTACTTACAGATTATCTACCCTCAAAATGTCCGTATGAGAGTACGAAGCCCCTACCACCAATCCAGATTCCCTCGTGGGGGTTTTCTTCGGAGAGGAATCTCGGCGCCCATCTGAGCTTTGGGTTCGGGTCCTCCAAAATGGAGAAGCAGGCCTACATGGCAATGTCAGCGGACTAACACTTTCCAAACGACATCTTGCTCGAGCACATTGACATTTCGAAAATCTTTGGGACATACTCAGATCTTTCTGCGAAATCATAAGCGAATTAGCAAACTACACTCTCTAAAACCGTAGAATTGTTTAAAATCTGTGGTCGCGAGTAAAGAGGGAATTGCACTCACCAACCTGTACCATCTCCTAGACCATGTAGTCAGCTCTGTTGCAAATTGAGACCATAAGAAGCTCTGCACTGACCTGCTGCGCCGGCTTCTTACTGCCATTTGAAGAGGAAAACATCCTGGAAGCTTCGATTGCAGACTTGGTCCGGAGTCTGCGTTCTAAGTAGGAAAGTCTTCGAGTCCTCTACTTTATTGCTCCCCGCGATGTTCTGGCTCACGTGTCTCTAAACGTATTATGTAAGTTGGCTGCCGGCCGCGTTAAGCGCGCTCCATGGCGCTTGTGCGAGAGAAACCTAGATGGAAATCAACTGGTTGTACCAACCAAAGTCCAACCCCTCTCTCCTACTTTCAATCTTCTTCCACTCTTTCATTTGTGGAATGCACGGCCTTTCACTTTGTTACCACTAAACCTTACGACACTAATATTTTTGCAACTTCTTCACAGGCTCGCCATCAACTTGATCACCTTATCGGCAAGTTTCAGCCACGCAGCCGTTGCGCGACCTCGACAGCTTGCTTGCAATCTTCTGGACAACGAATCCCGACTTTGCATCAGTGCTCCATCAACATGGCAGAACCAGAGACCTTCGAAGATGATCTGTTCGCTGATCTGTGAGTATTGTTCCTCTGCGCCCCTGGATACGCGCTATTTTCTTACTGTGAAGCTGGAAATACCACAAATACTGTGTTATTTCCTTGCCGCAATCTATCTAAGTGCCAGCTATTGTGACCGATCTGACCTGTTGAGTAGTTACACCGAGGATGATAATGCGCCAAAAGGCGAATCGACGGCCATCATAACCGAAGTTTCTGCTCCTGTCGAACCAAAAGCCGAAGAGCCTGTCGGGAACCATGAAGCGAACAGCATGGTTGTGCAAACCTATGAGGCCGAGCAGGAGATGGAAGATGATGACGAGATAGATTTCAATTTGGGCAATGGCGCTAGTTATGATCCTTCATCGAATCATGAGTCGAATGGGCCGGGAATCAAAGAGGATGGGTAAGATTTCTCTTGGATTATTTCAGTTTACTCTTTTCGTGTATAATTGCGCTTGACTCTAGTTGATTACCTCCCGCTTGCCATGACATCTGGACTACTCTGAAGAAAGTCTACTTCGAAGACTTGGGAGTGGATCTTCTCTGAACCGCACATGATTGCTACATGTAGGACAAGTACTGGAGCAAAGGGAAGAATGGTTGGGTGGAGCGTACGAAAATGGGGAGGTTGTGGCTAGTTTAGGCTCGTCAAAGGCAACTTGGAAACAGCCATGGGAGCTCGAAAATGCATCACAACTACAGTACCCAGCGTTACTTGAGCGTCACTTGAGCATCACTAGCAATACCAAAGGGGCAGATTGGATTTATGATCTTGGCTTGTTACAGTACAGGTTTTATGGGCTATTCAGAGGCAACACAAAACCTGTGCATTCATTCAAGAATCATAGACACAAAGAAAATGGAAGCCGACAAGCTTGTGGCTGGGACTACGTTATGGGAAGGGCTCAATGAAACTGGAAGTTCGCCTTGATTCATCCGACATCACAGCAAGCCATAGTCAGAAGCCTACATAGCCTATTGTCGAGATTATCTTCATAGAGCAACAAATTTGGCTAGAGATAGGCATAGCAGAACAGGCAGCGCATAGCGGCCCACGCCAGTACCTAGCATGACGATAGCAAAAGATACGATTGAACTTGGATGTCCTGGTGTCAGCCTTCATTTCATGACTTCCATGGGTTTCTTTGGCATGGCCCCTGGGTGGCAATGCTCATTGCCGTCTTTTGTCGAGAACTCACAACCAATTCAACCAACAAAGCTCACTACCTTCAAACGGAATGATGCACACGAAACTATCGAAACATACTGCAGACCCTGCAGCTTTCAGTGCTGTTCATTTGCCTATTGCACGTTCCGGGGCGTCGCTCGCTTGTGCCCATTCCCTGGCGTTCATGAAAGAGTGTTAGAAGCAAAACATCACAACCATTTCAAGCACACCGAGGAAGGTCAGAAGCGGATGCGCAAACACAGCTATGAACTGGCATCGCAGCTTGAATGTGTCTCAGAAGTTTCTACTATTTTTCTCGGATTTTTTAAAATGCTCGCTTGCTGACTAGTCTTGAACCATAGGAAGATGTTCATTGGTGGGCTCAACTGGGAAACTACTGATGGTAAGTCAACGGGAACAATCAATATCACTACCTGGACTGATTGTTATTCGTAGAATCTCTTAAAGAGTATTTCTCCCAATTTGGTGAGGTCTTAGAGTGTACTGTCATGAGAGATGGTGCTTCCGGTCGGTCAAGAGGATTCGGTTTTCTCACATTCAAGGATGCACGCACTGTCAACATCGTGATGGTCAAAGAGCATTACTTGGATGGCAAGATTGTAAGAAACTTTCCCTTTCAAACCAACAATTTGCACGAATAGCTGTGTTGGACTATTCTTTGCATTTGCTGATATATAAATTCCAGATCGATCCTAAGCGAGCGATACCAAGAGATGAGCAAGAGCGCACGAGCAAGATCTTTGTTGGTGGTGTCAGTCAAGAAGCTACCGAACAAGACTTCAAAGAATATTTCATGCAGTTTGGTCGAGTCGTCGATGCCACTCTCATGATGGATAAAGATACTGGTCGACCACGTGGGTTTGGTTTCGTCACATTCGATAGCGAAGCAGCTGTTGAAGCCTGCCTTGACTCTCCACTTGAGATCCTTGGCAAGCCGATCGAGGTGAAGAAGGCACAACCCCGAGGTAACATGAGAGAGGAAGAAGAAGTTCGGGGAGGGCGAAGCGGCGCAGGAGGTGGCCGCTTTCGTAAAGGTGGCGCCGACGAAGCTCAACATCAAAATCAAGCGCCTTCGGGTCCTGCAGGACAAATGGGTGCGGGCGGAATGACACCTCAATTGATGGCTCAATACTGGCAGCGAATGCAACAATACTTCGCCATGATGCAATCACAAATGGCGATGGGAAGAGGTATGCCTGGAATGCCTGGTGGTATGAATCCTGCTATGATGCAGCAGATGATGCAGATGCAACAGATGCAACAGATGCAGCAACAAATGCAAGGCGGCAATAGCGGCAGAAGCCAGAGTCCACAAAGTCCTAATGCAGCAATGGCTGGTATGCAGGGAATGAATCCACAGATGATGCAGCAAATGCAACAAATGCAGGCACAGGCAATGGGTGGCGGCGGTAACAATCCTGCTGGGAATGGAAGCAATCCTGGAGGTCGAGTTGGCACGCCTGGCTACAATGCTTATGAGCAGCAAATGTTCGAGCAGCAGAAATACGAGCAACAACAGATGCGTCGAGCAGGACGTGATCAATCTCAGTACGGTGGCGGTGGAGGCAGTTATGGTATGGGCGGAGGGAATGGGCCAACTTCTTGGGAGGGCATGTATGATGATGTTCCACAACCTGCTGTCCCAAGCGGTGGTGGAGGCCGTGGGAGTTTCCAGGGAGGTAGAGGCGGTGGAAGCGGCGGTGGGAGCAATCGAGGATCAGCACCTCCACAGAGCGGTCCTGTCAGTGCTCCTCCTGCAAATGCTCCTACCGGCCCAAAGAATGCTGGAAAGCCAGGTGCAAACTATCGTGGAGGTGGTCGAGGTGGCGCCCAGCGTGGATTTCACCCTTACGCCAGAGGTTGAACAACTGCGGGTTGATGGCGTTTGGCAAGTTTGCACCTATGGATCTGGTAAAAGCATGTATCGTGGATAATACGTTTCTCTTTATGATAGCTCCTCACTCATCATGGTGAGGTTCCGAACACTGGGTTTCGGGGCCATTTCTGTGTCGAATGGCTTCACAGATGAGCAAAAATCACCAGTTAATACATCAATTCAATATATGACTTGCAAACCATGCCCCCGAGAGTACAGACTTTATTTGACTCTTTACTCACTCACTATATCCGAATTAACAATAGGTCGCACGAACTAACAATTCGTCCTGCATTTCTCTGTCCTATGTCTCTATAGGCCTTAGAATTGCTGTATAAAGTGGTGTGATTGTTAATCCTCGGTTCCATTCGTGATAGGAGCCTCGTCTTATTATACTCGGGATAAGTGAAACGCCTTCCTGAGTAAATTGGCTTGTCCTAAACTATACTAAAACTTGTAGTACATAAAAGTCCAATTCTCACCCGCTAAACCTGGATTCTAAAATAGGAACTACTCTACCTAATAACCACAACTATGAGTTCCCTCTAGCTCGAAAAATTTAATAAGATATTAGGTTACTATATAGACTCCTAGAAAAAAGGTTATCTAGGGTGGATCGATATATTAGGAAGCCGTTTTACATATCCCGAGTATTACCTTGGAAATTTTAAAGGTCCTTTTGTTGTGCTAACCTCGCATTGCTTTCCTAGCCAATTAACGCTAATACTCGGTTCGCCTCGTGATATGAGCTATGCCATATGTATTAGACAGGGGATACTTCGGCTCTGAAGCTCCGATTTTCGCTTGTTTGAACATAGCTTTAATTAAGCCAACACATTTTTCAAGCAGGTTTGGCCGAGTGGTCTAAGGCGATGGTTTTAAGTCATTTGACCCACCATTATCGAAAGATGCGAGGGTTCGAACCCCTCAGCCTGCACACAGCGGACTTTTTTGTTTTTTGCTCTTGCACCCATATCGGAGACAAAACCACTCAAGCCCACCCCCCTTTTTGCAAGTTGTAAGCTCTTACAACGTACATTTCCAAGCGATTCCGAGCCTTTATCGGTTCGACAGGGGGACGATAAGCTCTTACAAGTACAACCTATAGGAAAACAAATGTAAAATGACGCGATAGTAGTTGAGCCGACATCGAAATCGCCGAGCCGGACCATCCCAAGAGCCTTCAACACCACAACTGTGTCCCAAAGGATCAAATGATATGGCTCCTTCTCGAACTTCACCTAGTCCTACTCCAGCTTCCTCCAAAGGACTAACAAGAGAACAACTGGAAACCTTCGAGCAAGATGGCTACTTATTCATTCCGGATGCTCTCGATTCGGAGACCTTGAGGTCGCTGCTCGACGAAACAGGTTCACTCCTTGAGGGTTTCTCGTTGGACGACCATCCTATGACAAAGTTCTCTACTGGTGAAGGCAAGGATGGGGAACATGTTGGCGACGATTACTTCTTGACCAGTGGAGACAAGATACGCTTCTTCTTCGAAGAAGGTAAAGTTCCTCTCTGCCGTTTGTCAGTATTGCATATACTAAGTCTCGACCTCTTCTAGATGCTTTTGACTCCACTGGAAACCTTTCCAAACCCAAAGCCCGGGCAATAAACAAAATAGGCCACTACCTCCACGCCCTCTCACCACCTTTCGCTTCTCTCCTTTCCGATTCATCTACACATTCTCCCAGTGCAATCGCGCGCTCGCTCGGCTTCCGCGATCCACGGTGTCTTCAAAGCATGGTTATATGCAAACAACCAGAAATTGGAGGTGCAGTTCCTCCACATCAAGATTCCACATTCCTTTACACCGATCCCCCATCTGCCGTCGGCTTCTGGTACGCTCTCGAAGATGCGACCGTCGAGAACGGATGTCTAAGCTTTCTACCCAGGAGTCACAAGAGCGCGGAAGTGAGCCGGAGATTTGTACGGAAGGGCGATGGGACGGGGACTGAGTTTATCGATACGGAAGGTCGTAAATTCCCTAATGAAAAGGACTTTGGGAAGGCAGATATAACGGGAGAGTATAAATTGGGAGAGGTGAAGGCGGGGACGCTAGTTCTGATACATGGGAACTTGCTGCACAAAAGTGAGAAGAATGTCAGTCAGAAGGGAAGGATCATTTACACCTTTCATGTTATTGAAGGGGAGAGCGCTGTTTATGATGAGAGAAATTGGCTTCAACCGCCGAAAGACGGGTTTACAAAGCTGTAGAATGGACCGGAAGCATATGCTTTGCAAGACGCCCATAACCTGTATGTTCGCCGCTTCCACAAATTAGCTTCCTCTAACATACGAGCACACAAGGTTCGTAGACGGCATATATAATTTCATCGTACCGGACCAGCCTGCTGTGAGTTTCGAAACTTCATACCTTTGTTATCCCATGAATCTTTCGCTTCGGGTCGCGCAGCAAACCATTTGATACCAGCCCTTGTCTTCCAGTTTTGGATAGCAAGGCACCCAATGAGAAGAGGCATATGCTCGTGTCCACCGTGCCAGACAGTCCTATTAATGGCTTACTGACATAGGCCTAGAGCCCGAGTGGATTTAAAAATAATCCGTACTATTAAATAATACGGAAAACAATAAAAAAAGATGCGCTAGTCCACTAGCGTTACTAAAATAATACTATTATTTCAAAATAATGCGAAAAATAACACATGCTGTACAAAAAAGAAATCCTATAAGATAGTACATGATTTATTTCAAAGAATACCTTTGCTAATTTTAATAGAGATCGAGCTTGCTCATCAACAGAAACTCTATCTTTTGGTCTTATTGCTTTCCTCTACAACTTTGTCGCTATCGGAAACAACCTTTACTACTTAGGTAGTAGCAGTAGGCGCTTACGATAAGTTAAGGGTATTCTGAAATGTTCAGGTTTAAGAATGAGGAGCTTATCACGTGGAGTGAAGTGGACCAAGGATGCTTTGAAATCGGATTTGCGAATAGACACTAGAACGTCATTGTCGTGAACAATGTCTATATCAATTCGAGGGTTGAGAATCAACCTCAACTTTTTTTACAATGTGATCATCACTCTGACTTGATACGACCTTCTCAATCCTTAATTGATCTTCGGCCTTCTTAAATGTCCCAAGACCCGGTACCCAAAAGCGTTCTCGTCACGGGAGCAAATGGCTACATCGGCAGCGCTGTTGCTCGTGCTTTCGTCCGCAAAGGATGGAGAACATACGGTCTTGTTCGCTCTAAAAAGAGCGTCAAAACCCTCGCAGCAAACGAGATCATACCCATAGTGGGGACTTTCGAGGATCCATCGTTCCCCTTCCTCAGTAAACTCGAAAGTGAAGGCATCGTCTTCAATGTTGTGGTTTCAACAACTGAGCAACTAAGGAACTATATCCCGCATTATAACCAGATCATTAGCCTGTTGCTCAAAATCTCGGAGTCGACAAAGAAGGCCGGGAAAGGGAAGCCGCTGGTCCTCTTCACATCTGGTTGTAAAGATTATGGCATGATGCCTTATCTTGCCAACTCTCCTGGTCTGCAACCACACACAGAGGCGTCACCCCTCAATTCGGTTCCTCTGCTCATCCATCGCACCACATACTCTATCAAAACCCTCGATCACAGTGATGCCTTTGATGCGGCTGTGGTCAGGCCGACAAATGTGTATGGTCTTGCATCAAGCTATTATGCGGGATTCTTCGTCGTGGCCCAAGAAGCCGTGGAGAAAGAACTACTGGAATTCAGAGAAGATCCCCTAACTATCCTTCATGCTATGCATGTTGATGATTGTGGTGATGCCTACCTCGCCCTTGCAGAGACCGGCCTTGCCAACAGGGAAGCTGTCAAGAATGAATGCTTCAATATGTCTTCTTACAGATTCGAAACGTTGGAGGAGATTGCCGAATCTCTTGTGCAGGAATATGAAATCAAAGGTGGCGCCAAATTTGTAATAGATGCGTGGCCAGAGGGCGGTAGAGCCGATGAAAACTTTGGGAGAATACTCTTTGGGTTCTCGCAGTGGACTAGCAGTCAAAAATTGAGGGATCTGACAGGATGGAATGACTATCGACCTCTGTTTTCAAAATCCTTGAAGCAGTATCGTCTGGCATATGACGCGACAAACGGTACTGGGTCGGAATTGCTCTGATCGGAAAATCGTAGTATAGATCAATGCAGTAGGACATCCATCAGTGCTCCTCTCTAGGACTAGGTCATTCTACTCGGCAATTTCAACTCTATTGTTGTAGATGATGGTCGCTTGTTCGTTGATTGGGGATTCGTGCTTGTGTTTCTTGAGTTCTCAAACATCACCCCTTAATCTTTCGCGGTCCTGGGATTCCAGCAAGATGAGATCCCCGTTCCATTCCACGCCCTCCAGGTTGTCTAGATACTCCTCTCCCACGGGGACAGGGACGTAGTCTTGTTGCCTCCTGTCAGAGGGTATTCTGAAATACCATATGCCGAGACTTGCCAGAAGACAAAGTATAGCAAGGCAGTAGAATGGCAATCCTATCCAGTCTCCTCCTGCTGACATGCCTACAGTGAAGAGCCAATTTAGTAATGGGCCTGCCACAAGAAACCCTATTGTTTCTACCACGGTAATAGCAGCATAGAGTCGCCCAATTTGCTCTTTCTCAACCAATGTAGTGATGAGGGATCTGACAAGTGATGAGAAACCAGTGCCCAAAGTCCAGACTACCATGCCCAAGATCGTTGAACTGATATTACGACTTGCGGCGATACAAATCGAGCCAGCAACCAGCACTACCGCAGAGAACTTTGACAATGACAGGTCTTTCTCTTTAGATGAGTAGCCTAGCCGACTCATTAAGACTTTAGAGACTATAGGTATAATCGCCAGTAGCAGGATAATATTTACAAACGCACGGAGAGACAGAAGGAGCATGACCTCTTGTATCTTCCAAGTAAACCGCTTCGACACATATCTCACAGATAAGCCTACTGAAACTGTACAAAATGGCCCAATCACAAATGTGACAAGGAGGAGTCGAACAGACGTAGACAGGAGGACTTGCGTCGCGCTACGCGTCCTCTTTAAAGCGTCAACAAGTTGAGCCCGAATTGAGGTGAGCACCGTGTGGTTGCTGCATCCTTTGGTAGATGCCAAATTCCCCTCCTTGGGTGCATTTCTGACAAGTTGTCCTGACGTGGTGCAGACTCGAAGATGGAGGGTTTCTGGCATGAATGTAACAATGAACCACCCGCCGGTCATGATGGACCATCCTGTAATCAAGGCAAGCCATGGTGATTGTTCCATTAAAAGGCGGGCGATCGAAGGTGCGAGCAAGTGGGCCAAAAGATGGGAACAGCCACCTAACAAGAAGACGTTTGCTCTGATTTAATCAGTCCATGATTGAGGATTTTACTGTAAGAGCACGATACATACCTGTTTGCTTCTGTTGTAATATCGCACGCCACAGTATAAAAGGTCATGGTTGCTACAGCCTCCCCACCTCCAATGAATGCAAACACCGGGGAGAACCAGAGTAGACGTAAAGGTAGGATCTTCCAAAACCACAAAATTGTGAGGTCGTAGCAGCTTGAGAGAATCATGCCAAATGCTGCAAGAATAAAGACTGGCTTACGTCCAATTCTAAAGCAGACCAGTCAGCGAACATTCTGTCAATGTGGTTCCAGAATGGAGGATCATCATGAGAAATTCATGCACTTACTTGTCCGTAAGCGCACCATACACTATAGTTGTCAATAGACCTATGAAGGTGATTGGTTAATCAACCAGCTCATAACCCAATTTGTAGACAGTGTTTGCGGCATCCTACCTGGAATTGGAGCCAGAAATGAAGATACTCCAAAGAGCACATTTATCTGGCTCTGAATGGCATCTTTCTTGCATAGCTCCTCTTCAATATCCTCGTCCAGCCCAACGCGATCCTTCCCCCTTAACCCATTGTAGTAGCGATGGCATGCGATGTCCTC